TAAACTTCATTTTTAAATTCATGAAGTTTATTAATGATACCAGAACCTGGGAGGTTGAGAAGTGAAAAGGAATCTTCATTTTTTAATTGTAATTCTTTTCTATTACTAGAGGAAAAATGCTTTCTTTTCTTTACTCCCATGGCTTTTAAGTTTCAAGAATGAAAGGTGAGCACTCAATAATACTTTACTCCAAAAGATCTGTTAATGATTGAAAATAGTACTTCTAACTTATCCTTTTTATAATTTTAATTTATTCTGGAGTGCCAAATTTTCAAACTTAAAACAAATACAACCCATTTAAGCATTGCGGTGCTCCTTTTTCTCTCAAATTATTTTTTTTTTAAAATAAACTCCAATGATTACTATTATTAAAACTAATAATTCTACCTAACACACATAAACTAAAAGCTAGGTTGCCTCAAGTTAAGAGCTTAGTTTGTAGTCTTTAGCTATACTTAATTTCAAACTCAACCTAATTATGGGTTGCCTCCCATACAATGCTAAGTTTATAGTCTTCAACTAGACTTGACAAGATTTTTTAATTTGGGAAGGGTACATTATTTCCATTCTTCAAATAACTTCCACTAAGATCTTTTTCATTTTCTTTTGGGTTAACTTTAGTATTGGTAGGTAAAGGACTAAGAGGTTAACTACTAATTAAAATTATAAGTTGACTTAATTGGGTTTCAAAAATTTTAATTGAAGGAGCTTAATTTTATAATTGACTCCCTAACTGTATTATTACATCCTCGAATGCTATTTTTTATTTTTAAATTGATTACTTTGATTAAATCTTGGAGGATATATAATTCTAGGATTAATAGTAGGTTGTCGAGGATTATTATAATTTACTTGATTATTCTACCCTTTTTTTGATTGATTGCTACCACCCATATTATTTGACCAATTAAAAGTAGGATGGTTCCTCCAAGCTAAATTATATGTATTTATATAGGGATTATTATGACTTCTAATTAAATTAATATTTTTTATCTCTTGGACATTATTATCTTCAAATAAATTTTGATCCTCTAAAGATTCAATTTCTAATCCAGAATTTACTATTATTAAATTTAACTTCTTATAAATTGCTAGAATTGGTGCAGTCAAGATTGATAAAGAATAAATTATAAATTCCTACTACTTTCTTAAGATTTACCCTATAAACAGGCCACTAGAAATTATTTGTAGCCAATTATAATCAAGAGATGTATTCATTTTTGGTTAATAATAACCTTCATGAGGTTGGGTGTATTAGTCTAAATTTCACTTGGTGTAATAATAAAATTGGCTGGGCTCAAATTTTGGAGAGGTTGCATAGATGTTTCTTGAATTTTGCAACATTCAATTATTACCATCAAATGTTAGTTAGGTATCTTGCTAGAGTTACTTCAGACAATTGTCTGTTGGTACTAAATCTTTTAGAGCTAAAACCTCTGACTAAAAGGATTATTAGATTTGAAAATGTTTGTTCTTCATTTCTGGCAACTTTTGTTGTGGTAAGGAAAGAATGGAATAAGAAGGTTGATGGTAATTATTTTGATTCGTAATATCAAGTGTAATAGAATCTTGAAAGCTTTGTTCTTCTGGAGTAAAGCCAAGCTAAAAAATTTTAATCAATTGAAGGATTGTCTCATGAAAGAGATTTTGGAGATACAAGTTAAAGTGGAGGATATAGTTTATCTCTCGAAAGAGGATAGGTGGAGTTTTAAGGAAAAGGTGAATGAGCTAAACTCTACTTCGGCTCATCTGAATGCTTAGTGGAGACAATGTGTAAAAACCAGATGGATGATGGAAGGAGATATGAATTCTAGATTTTTTTCAATCTTTTGCTATCATAAGGAGGAATTCAAATTGGATCTTTAAGGTCAAAGATGATAATAAAGATTTGGTCAAAGATCAAATTTAGATTTAAGATATTTTTATTCGGTTCTTCAACAAGAAGTAGAAGGAAAGGAAATGAGTTCTGCAAGGTTAGCCTTCTATGATATGTTATGTTGATGAAGATGATATATGTTTGCTAAATAGGGATGTTTCTTTGGAGGAAGTTTAGGGAATTATGAATCAAGCTGATGCTAAAATAGATCTTGGGAATGATGGTATTACTTACTCCTTTCTCAAAGCTTTTTGGGATATTATTAAGGAAGATTTTTGGAATGCTATTAAACAACTTTTTTTTTACTCTGGAAACATGAATGCAAAGTGGAAAGATACCTTAGTGGTGCTTATTCCGAAGACAAGCAATCCTATGAGTCCTTCCAATTACAGGTTGATCAGCCTTTGTAAAACAATCTACAAGATAGCTGCCAAGGTGATTTTGAATAGAATGATTCCCATTATATCAAAACTGATTTCAATAGAGCAAGCTGCATTTATTAAGGGGAGGTCATTATCAGATTATTTGCTTATTGCTTAAGAATTTTTTCACGTGTTCAAATTTTTTAAATCTTCTAAAGGTTTAGTATCTTTCAAGATTGATATGGAGCAAGCTTATGATTACATGTGTTGGGGCACAATGGGAAAATTTTGGAGTATTTCAATTTCCCTTTGAAGTTTTCCAAACTCATTTTGGAATATGTGGAAAATCCCAGATTCTCTTTGATGATTAATGGCAGTCATTCTAATTGGATCAATGCTAAGAGCGGCTTCTATCAAAGTTGTCCTTTATCATCTTTTCTTTTTATTCTTCGATCTCAACTTTTATCTAATGCTCTTATTCAGAATGGAAAATCTATTGGTGTTTGTATTTGTCCAAATGGCCATATGATTTCTCATTTATTCTATGCATATGATACTTTTTTTTTTTGAACCTAACATTAAGGTAGTTAAAGAGATCAAGGGTGCTTTATTGGAGTTTTGTGGGTGGACGGTTCAAAGGATTAACACTAGCAACTCTACTATTCTTTTTGGTAAGCATGTTAAGAGGAGGAAAAGAAAGTCTATAACTCACATTATGGGGTTTAAACAAGTTAAGGAATTCAATTATCTTGGTGTAAAGATTGCATTTAGGAGGCTTGTTGGGGCAGACTTTCAGTTCATTATTGATAAAGCTGTAAGAATGCTAAATGTTTGGGGGAGTAAGTTCATTTCCTTGACAGGGAAGTTTGTTCTTGTAAAATCATTTTTTCTATCCTAGCCCACTTTTCATTATACGCATTCTCTTGTCCCTAAAGGTGTTCTTGATGAGCTTGACAATATGTGTGGAAGTTTTATATGGAATAAGTGGAATGTGAGGCTTGGCCTTCCTTATGTTAGTTGGAATGTGTTGTACAAACCTGTTAAAGAGGGAGGATGTGGTCTACACTCTTGTGCAAGTAAAGTTGGTCCTTTGAGAGCTAAGTTGGCATGGAAATTTGTTCAAGATAAAGACTCTTTATTACATAAGTCTCTTTCTCCAAAATATGGGTCTCAGTTTGGTGAGGTTGGATCAAAAAAGGGAAGCTCTGCTACTTGGAAAATTATCTCTGAAGGTGGAAAATTCTTTTAACTCTATTGTTAGATGGAAAAATTCAAATGGCAGCACTATTTATGTTCAAGGATGTTTGGATTTGGGATAAATGTATTAATAAATGGCCTACATTTGTGGCAAATACAGGATGTGAAGGCTTAAATATTGATAAGTTCATTGTAGATGGAGCTTGGGATGTAGGTAAGCTCTGTAAGGTCTTTGGGCTTGAGCTTGTGAAGAGTATATGCCAAATTCAAATAATTACAGAGATGGGTGATGATACCGTCAAACTTATAAACCAAAATTCCAGGAAATCTATCTCAGCTATGGCTTTTAAAGCTTCAATGTACGATCAGTCGTGCATTCTTTACTGGAAGTGGATAAAAATGCAAAACTTATGTTTAGAGTGGAGGTGTTCCGGTGGCGTTTGTTCAATAACGCAATTCCAACCTTTCAGTTCCTATCCTATAGAAGATTGTAGGATGGTTTTTGTTGTCCTAGAGGTTGCAATGCTATTAAAGATATAGAACATGTAGCAACAAAGTGTGGGAAGTTAAGAGAGGTTTTTCAACACTTAAACAAATGGGGCTTTTATATTCCCTCTTTCAACTCATTTGAAGATTGTTGTTAGTGGATGATCCATAGTTGTTTAGATAATGTGTTCTTAATTAACATGTATTTTAATTCGAGTTATCTTTCTTGGAAGGCTAGGAATAAGTATTTACATGAGGGTATTAAAGATAGTTCGTTGTTAATTATTGCTCAAACAGTAAGCTTCGCTTCAGTATCTTCCTTTGGTTGTGGTTCAAGCTCAGGCCACTGGGGTGTTAATCAGTCGGATAGACTATTATTGAGTTATTGGCACCCTCCTCCATCCAATTAGATCAAATTCAATGTTGATGCTTCTCTATTAACTTTGTATAAAGCTGATATTGGTGGTGTATTCTGTGACAATAAAGGTAGATTTCTATTAGCTTTTGGAATGCATTATATTCAATGGGATATTGCTCATTTGGAGCAATTAGCTATTCAAACTCTAAGGGATGTCATTAAAGAGTGGATGTTGGTCTATAAAGGAATTATTATTGAAAGTGATAATTACAATATTATCAATTTTCTTCTAAATTCGGCAAAGAAGAATGATCATTGGATGGAGTAACTTGCTTTGTTCAAGGATTTTAATCACGTTGTTTTTAATTGTATTGATAGGAATTAAAATAAGTTAGTTAATTTATGTGCTAACTATGCTATTTTTGGTAGTTTTAGTTGGGATGATATTAGTTGTAATAAGGTTCCTCTTTTTCTTACTTTGTTAAAGGAGGAACTTAAAAATATTGCTTAGTAGGTTGTAATAGTTTCTTTTAGTAGTGATGCAACTAGTTTGCTTCTTCAAAAAAAAAAAAGGAAATTATTAGTAGCCATTTTATCTATTAATTCATAGGCTTCCTAAATTGGCTTAAACATTAATGATCCTCCAGTTTCAACATTAATTATAGCCCTAAGATATCATACTAATATATTATTAAATGATTGAATTACCAACCAATCAGGTAAAGCAGGATGAGGGCATTCTCTAAACATTTACATAAATCTTTCTCAACTCTCATAAATGGATTCTCCAAAAAACTGAGTATAAGAAGTTATGTCATTTTTGGCTTTTTTTTAAGGTGGGAAAGACTTAGCAAGAAACTTATGAGATTACTCACTCCAAGTATTTATAGAGCTTGGGAGTAAAAAGTTAAACCACATCTTAGCTTTATCTCATAAAGAAAAGGGAAATATTCTAAGTCTAATAACATCATTATTGACACCATCACACTTAAATATTACATAAATTTCTAAGAATCTTGCTAAATATAAATTTGGATCTTCTATAGGAGTTTCTCCAAACTGAGAATTTTAAACTATTTGAATAATGATAGGTTTTAATTCAAAATTATTAGATTGGATTATAGTATTATTAATGCTCTTATGACTTCCTTCTACAAAAGGGTTTGTATATTCCTTATGAATTCCTTCTAACATAAGTTTAGAAATTTTCAAAATCTTTTTAGTTTCTAAATTTTAGAAAGAATTCTCTTAATTTTAGGATCTAATGATAAAAGTTTCTTTTTATGGATATAAAGCATGAACTAAAAATATACAATTAGTAATCAAAGAAATTAAAAATAAAAGATATAAGTAGGTCTAACTACGCAATTAATTAAATGATATATTTAAAATTTTCTAAAAGCAAATTACTTCCTTAGAAATGGTGCCTAAAACTTAATGGGGGCTACTATGGAGTGCATTCTTAAATTATTAAAATGTTTGAGGCTCTATCTCCCCAAAAGAATTCTTGTATTTTTTAAAATATATAACTAATAAAATATGCCATTAATATACACAAGTATATGTGTTGAATGAAATAATAAAGTGATAGAGTAGAGTATCGAACCCATGAGGAAGTATTCTTTTAGTAATCAATTTCTATCGTTTTATCTAATTAAAAAATTATCCTACAAAAATAAAAATGTTGGTTGTGGAGATTCTTTTTCTTTTTTCTTTTGAAGAAATGCATAGAGCAATTTTATTGATAAAAAGAAGATACAAGCACTAAGTGATAGTAACCCTATCACTTTCCTCCTTTAATAAAGAAACAAATAAAGGAGGAATGTTATTACAATATAAACTATCCCAAATGAAATCAGAAGAACGAGCATAGTTAGCACAACAACCAACTAACTTTATAAACTATCCCAAATGAAATCAGAAGAACGAGCATAGTTAGCACAACAACCAACTAACTTATTACAATTCCTATTCACAAATTGGAATAATACTTGGTTAAAATTTCTAAGAAAGGATAGATCTTGTGGCTTCAAAATAGCTTCTCCACCATTCATAATGCTTTGAACATACTTGATTACATTATAATTATCCCCTTCAATTATAATCCCTTTCACCTCATACATCCATTCTTGAAGAACATTCCTCAAAGATAGAATTAACATTAACTCCAATTCCGAGCAGTCCCAATGTAAGCAATTGAAGCCAAAAGAAAACAAAAATCTTCCTTTGGAATCTCTTATAACACCTCCTATTCCTGCCATATAAGAAGTATCTAAGGAAGCATCAATATTAAGCTTAATCCACTCAGGGGGAGGAGGATACCAATAAGAAGAAGACAGCTACAACAGCTAGTTGGTATCCCAGTAATTCGAGATTGGATTAAAGCGAAAGGAAACAACAGCAAAACTGATTGAGTTTGCTGCTATAACAAAGATGTAGTCCTCGCTTCCACCATGTATGAGCTTGTTTTTTCTTTTCCTAGAAAAAAAAAATAGTAAAGCAATATAGATTCCCTAAAAAAGGATTATAATTTGATAAAAACTTCAATCATTGAATAAAAATAATAAAAAAGGATGTAATATTAAAATTATTTTTTTTAATGATGAATGAAAATTTCATATATTTCCTAATGAAATTCTTTTATGTAATGTGATTTAGAGAAAATGCATCCCTAGATCTTATAGGGGTGAAAAAGATATCTACTGATCTCCTACAGTTATATCATCTCCTTAAGAACCTAACATATTTTACATCTATGTACAGGTATGTAAACAAACTATTTTAATATTAGGTCTTTTTCTTGCATTCCTCCATCGAGGCTATACATAATATTAGATTTTAACTACACATATGACCACTAAGTGCATTAAATAAAGATTGGGAAAATATTGAAATCATCATTTAAATTTATAGCATAAGAATCTTCATTAGCACTTAATATGTTTCTTTATCATCAATCCAAAATAAGAGAATTAGCCATACATGAAAGAAAACATAAGCAAACTCATTTTCTATGAAATTATAAAAGAACAAAACTATAATAAAATGATATCACCAGGAAGGATCACTGTATATCCTCTACACTCCTTCTTTAATATATAGAGTTGCTCAAACAAACACTGACTAAAATTCTTTAATGATTATATCTAGCACTTCTCTATTCTCATTTAGAATTGGCTCTTAGAGAAATATAAAGAAGCATTCTAAAAAATACTAAAATTAGAGAAGTGACTGAACTCCCTTATAAACATTACTACTATTTATAGGAAAACATAAAAATATTAGGTTGCACTATGGTGATTAAAAAAGTTGCACTATGGTGATTAAAAACGTTGCACCACGGTGCCCGTAAAATGAATTAACACTTTGACATAGGAAATTTTGCATCGTCGTTGTGCTTGCTGATGTGGATCGGGTAATTAATGAATATCCACGTCTTTGCTGATAGACCATATCCCTTGAATGTTACAACTTCTACATCATGGCCCTATTAACTTTCAAATACTGCGGCACTCGAGTGGCAGATTTGGCACCAAGGTGTGATAGATTGTAATGATGTGGTGCTTAAAGATAGTAAACACTATATTTTTGTGCTGACCATCTAGTGCCGCAGTGCTTGAAGACAGTGAACATGGTGCTTCCATGTCCAAATGTGATGCTTTGGCAATGTGCAAGAGGGTGCTACGACATGTAATTATTAGGTGTCATAGTGTTGTATTAAACTTTAGAATTTTTGCAACTTTTAAGTTTTTCCTACACACAAATAGCTAAAATAATGCATTTAAACTAATAAAAACATATATAAAATTATTACATAATTTATACTTATCAAAATATATGGGTCATAACCTATGTTTGAGTTATAAAGAATTAAGGGGTTAATATTCTATCCTTAATTCTACACCTAATTAAGGCTAAATTGATTATATGGATACATGGGTGGCTAATTCCTCCTAAAGGTGGCTTTAAATTTCTAAAAGGGTATGATTTGTGAAAATCTTTTGAACCTTCTTCCCTTACTTGTGAGGTACATAGCATTGAAACAAAGAACATAACGATTGATGCCACTTTAGGATATATACCCCATAACCCAATGATTCTAGCTAATATAACTCGCATCAATGAAGGGGATACTAAAAATAAATATAAATCAAACATAGGTTGAGGCACTAAGGCTTGATTTGAAGTGTATTTGTTTTTCCAACATCACATATTGTATTTTAAAATAGACATGGGAGAGACACACTATAAAATTTAGTATGAAAGATAAACATATATATTAAAATTGAATCATATAATTTGTTAAATAGAAAATGAAACTCAAATATGGGACCCTAGAATAGGTTGAAGTAACATATTCTAATCTATGACCTATTGGAGAGACACACTACACAATATGCTAGAACTTAGTTTTTATTTTATTTTTATATTATTGATTTGTTCATCGAAATAAGATTTGAAGGCTCAAAATTATTAAGGAGGTAATTTTTTTATGTTTTCTTAAGTATGTTATTAGAAAAACCAGAGAAAATATCCTAGCAGGGTCCACTTTGTGTAGAAAAACATTGATGCATATGATACAAATGGGTGGCTTACACTATAGGTATTGTTGGCCATATGAAGGTTACTAAATTCATAGAGGGCGCAAGCCTTAGCTAATAAATCCAAAGCTTCTTCAGTGAGCTAACCTTTGTCCAAAATCTAACACATCTTGTCTCATATCTTTGGGTAAAAGTAAAACATGTCCAAATTGTGTGTGTGAGTATCAACAAGTCATTCAAATAAAAGAAAGGTCTTAACAATATTACAAAATTTTTCCATGACCCAAAAGTAAGGCAGGGCATGTACTCCCCTACATAATAAAGGAGCCTCTCTAAAGATTAGGGGAGGTATTACTCAATGATCGTCACATAATATGATGTCCCTCACAAATAACACAAAGATAATGCACATCTAAGTAAATGATTTATAAATGACACATGCATATGTGAAATGATGCATCCAAAACCCTCATTCCAAGGATATTGATCATACATTCACTCTCCAGCCGCTCTGAGATTTTATTTTATTCTCATAGAGTTTTCTCCATAATCCTTGTGTATTTTCTTGTCATCTGAATGTTGCCGGCAGAAAGGTTGAGAAAGGATCAAATCTCACTCCATCCTAGCTATTTGAGATCCTTCTCTTGTCCTTCCCAGATGTTGAGGTCTTCATAAGAGTTATTAATCACGCCCTATCAAAGAGTTATAGCCATTAAACATCCCCTGAGATCATCTTTGTGGAGGTAGCAATCAAACCTTAAGCATTTACCAAGAAATACTCTCAATTTTCTTTTTACTAGTCTCTAAATAATCAATAACTTGAGCTCAAATAGTACTAAATTAGGCTATAATATATCATTGATGTATTGTAATCTCTCTCAGTCAATTTCATGCATCTTTCTCCTATAATTGAATTTTCAAATTTAAGGGTCTCTATGTGATCTATAATTTTGATAATTCATTATGATTAATCTATAGAGCATTAGGACATTAAATTTATGTGGTTTGTTTGCAAGTATGCAAGGTTAGTCACACAAAAATTCAAGTCCATTTGAACATTAGAGACATTTAGTGAAAATAATTATAGAATGTGTCTAGTCAAGTTAGAAAAATCCTAAGAAATTTCACGCACACCCATTAAGGGTGAAACTCAAACTCAATAAGCTTAGTAACATGGCACACCCTAGGAATAAATTGGACACGAATTTGAAATCATTTCATACATTAATTAAGCAAATCTAAATTCAGCCCTTATTTAAGGGTTGATTTTGGTTAAAAAATTTATAAATCATCTAAAATTCATAAAAAGACAAAAAAAAAAAAACATTTAATCAACTCCAAATCATGGTTACAATCTTAAAATTTAATTAAATATTTAATAAATATTTAAATTTCAAATAATTAAAATAAAAATCAGTGAATATTAATTCTAATTTAAATCACACAAACCTAATTAATTGAGAAATTTAATTGATCAAATTTTCTTTAATCAAATAGATTTAAATAAATAATATTCATTAAATATATAAAGAGCCTTTTTATGCTTTATGTTTGATTCCTCTTGATGGTATATTAGAGTTGAATTTATAAGGTTCTTAAATGATTTTAAAAAACCAAAAAGATTCATATGTGTTGTGTATGATTCCTTTGAGGAAGACACTAACACATTGAATTGGGGGATCTTCAATCAACCTTAATAAATGATTAATAAATCAAACACTACAGGAAAATGCGTTGTTACTGGCAGATGAAATCTGCTGGTAACATAAAAAAATTTGACAAAAAAAGTATGTTTCCTTCAAATTTCTATTGAATTTCCATACTATAGTAATTCGCGCGTCGTTAAAAAACTTTCGACTTAAATATTACACCGGAAACATTTTTGACAAAATTTTCGGTGCAAAACCTATGAAAAAAAGATTGTGGTTTCATCATTTTCTTCTGCCTTATTCTGACATTATATCCACTGGAATTGTCGGTGTAAAATTACGCCAGTAGTGTCGACAGATAAAATGTCGCTATATACGCCAAAAAGTATACGATGAAAATTTCAGCGTAAAAAATACATCAAAAATTGATACATAATTTGTTGTATCATTATTTCTAGCAGATTACCGGCATATTATCCACCAAAAACTTGTAGCAATAATAAAAAAAAGAAACTTCTCATACAAGAAACTAATTTCCACAACCTGCAACAAACGGTTACGTGTAGAAAATAGTTACATAAGACAATAACAAATATCAACAACTAATTATGATTTGTACAATAATAAATAACTATTCATAAACATCACCAAATATTCATAAACATCACAATTACATAAGACAATTTATTTGTTTAAAAGTACAAACTGAAATAAGTACATATGAAGCTAAAAAAATAAACAACTACTCTGGATTAGTCGACTCATTCTCTGCTTAAGCTACCTCCGTTGAAGCTACCTCCATTACACTGAACTACTCTCTCTTTTTCTATATTTCATCCAACAATTGATTGATTTGCATCTGCATATACATCTATATTTGTGCTTGCAGCTGCACTTGCCAATTAGCTTGTGATTTTTCTTACTTGTTCTAGCTCCGCTTGAAGGGTAGCAACATGTTGGCTATATAAGAACACCTAGGAACTTGCTGTGAAGCTAGAGCCACCAAAGGTCATCCCCTCATGCCCTTGCAAACCTAAACCATAAACCCTGTCATATTACATTCCTCATATTACTTGCAACTAAATGTGGTACTCAAAATACTCTACAAATCCGCCAGAAGAACCCTTACCTACTACAGCCTGGCTCTTTTGAAGCTGTGTATACGCCTATGAAAGTTAATAAAAAATTAAGCAATTTAAACATAACATAAAAAATATTAAACACATATACTTACATGGGCTTTCCTTGCTCGCTCATCAACCCATTGTTGTTCCTGTTGCCGATTGTGGGTATGACAATGCAATTCAATAGGGGTCGATTCTCTACCCAACATCTCTTGTTGTAATAGACTTACATTAGTATTTCTATTAAAGAATTTTTTAAAAAAAGTTTTAGAATTCCTTAGCAAATATTATCTTTGCTCAGTATGTGGAATTGAGCCCTCAGAATGAAGGGAACTATCCATGCCCCCAACAACAGAAGCTTTGTTCTGTCTATTTTGGACCCTCCTCCTAATATACTCTATGCTACCCCAAAAATTGTTCAACTCATCTTGTACTCTCTCTCCAATCCATAATGGCCGCTCGTCAGACTTCCTAATATCTGTAAATAAGTCATGCATTCGAGTTGAACCACGCTTCTAAAAATTCTTTCTAATTTTGTTATTGTGTTGGGGTAGCCAATAAAAATCTTTCTGCATTTATATATATATATATATATATATATTTGTTAACTTAAGTAAAAAAAAAGAAATAATTCATAATATATTTGCATAATAACTAATATTAAACTCTCTAAACTACAAGTCTCACACTTTTTTTGGGACTTTCTTCTAAGAAACATAAGGAGCATTATACCTGCTCCATATTATGTCCCGTATTTTATGTGTCGATTTTTTTGACTGGTGAAACCTACAAAAAATATGTTAGGTGAGAAAATTAATTATTCAAATTTAGTTTCATGTTAATAATATTATAAGTACATACATGTCACTATCATGTTCAATCAATATTTGACTATTTATTGCTTGCTCTACAATAGCTGGGGTCGAAGGTCCACCTATAGCAGGCTGAGGGGGTAGTGGGGGATAGTATGGTGGAATATATGGTGGATATGAATAAGTATGAGGGCCACCATAAGGTTGGGGTGGGTAGTAAGGGTAGAATGGGGTACTCTATGTGGCATCTGGTCAAGGAAAGTAGGGAGTAGAACTACAGGCTACTAGCTCTAGGAGTGGGTAAATGTGTAGTAGGCTAACTATGAGTGGTAGGCAAACTATGAGTGGTAGGATGACTATGAGTTACATGCTAAGATGAAGAGGTCCCCTTAGTACACACAGACTTGTTGGATGGACCACCAGAATGTTCTTATTGTGCCTATTAAAAAAAATTTTGATCTATCCTTTGTTAGGCTATTCACTTGAAGCAATTTGCAAAGAAAAAATAAGAAATATTAGAAACATAAATTGTAACAAAATTTTAATATAAAATAACGTAGCAATTAATCATTACTGTCAAATAAATAGTCAAATTGAATGCCATAATTTCTAGCATATAGGTTTCTACTGGAAGCTCCGACAATTTCCTATAGTGTTATCTTCTTGTTGTGCCTATTAAAAATTTTTTTGATCAATCCTTTGTTAGGCTATTCACTTAAAGCAATCTGCAAAGAAAAAATAAGAAATATTAGAAACATTAATTATAACAAAATTTTAATATAAAATAACTTAGCAATTAATCATTATTGTCAAATAAATAGTCAGTTAGAATGCCGTAATTTCTAGCATATAGGTCTTCGCTGGAAGCTCCGACAGTAATCAATGGTTTTCCTATAGTGAAGGACCCTTAATTATACATTATGCTTGGTTCTTCTAGAGGGCATATATGTAGAAAATTTTTGGGGTCTTCTTTATCCCTTTCTCTCTTTCTAATAAATTACTAATAAATGTGAGGACTCTATTATAATTGATCCTATCCTTTATAGGAATGGTAATATTGTAATTATGAGTGTCAAGATCAGGGTTAGTGGCTTTAGCACTTCAAAGTCATTAATTTATTTTGTTCATTAAAACTAAATAAAAAATTTAAATCTCTTAAAATATAAATAATAAATGTTAAATTATTAATAGTTAAATTTAAACTAAAATTCCCCTTTAGCTTCTAATCAATAAACCTCACCAAATAAAGCATTTTAAAAACTAAAGCCACTTCGACCATACACCCTTTTTCACACACTATAGATGGTTTGTTTTTTTTTTTTTTTTTAAAGGATTTGTTTTTTTTTTTTTTTTTGAAAGATGCAAATTACATAAAATAAAAGAAGGAACCTAGATACAAGCTAATGAGAGGAACTCAAACTATCACATTCTTCCTTTACTAAATGAACAAAGGAAGAAGGAAGGTTGCTCTCACAAAATAAGTCCCAAAGAAAATCATAAGATAAAGCTATGTTAGCACAGTAATCCGCTAACTTATTATAATTACGATTAACACAATGAAAGATAACATTATTGTTATTGCTAAAAAATAATAAATCTTCACTTTCCAAGTTCCTAACTTTCTTCTTCGGTAAGCTGTACAATGTTTTGTAGAATATTGAGAACATTCTTATTGTCTCCTTCCACAATAATACCTTTAACATCTTGTAGCCTTCCTTGCAACACCTCTTTGAGTGATGAAAATGCTAAGAGATCTAATTGAGCAATGTCCCAATGCACTTTTCCCAAACCAAATGCTAAAACAAATCTTCCTTTGCTATCCCTCACAATACCTCCAGTACCTGCTTCATAATAACCTTTAAGGGAAGAATTAAGGTTTATCTTAACCCACTCGGGTGGAGGAGGTTGCCATTTGTCAAGGAACAGTCCAACAGACGGATTGGCAACCCAGTGATCCGACCGAATCAAAGACTGTTTACCTGAGCCAATAAAACCAAACATAGAAACTACAATCATCACATTACTTTCCTTAGATTTTTCACGCTTCACTCTATTTTTATTATTCCAAACAAACCACAATAATGTAAAATAGATCCTAACCATCAGCAGATTAGAATCCATTAGCTTCATAGGACAGATAAAGCAATCCTTCCAATCTTCAAATTCTGGAATACTGAATCCCCAACCTCTAAGTACCTCAATCTCCTTTAATAGCTTAGAACATTTTGTTGTAATATGGTTGACGTATTCTAATTCAACACATCCCAATGGACATAACAGAGATTCTGTTAATCTTCTCCTAAACAAAAAGGCTTCTGTTGGAATAGTGTCCATACACAGACGCCATATAAACAATTCCACCCGTGCATTCAATTTCAACCTATATATCCATGAAAACTGAACCTCATCCTCCATATCTTTGCAACCATCTTCCACTAACAAAGCTGAGATAGATTTCCATGTCCTCTTAAGATATAACTCCATGCAGACTTCTTGTAACTCTTGTACATTACAAATTAATTTCAGCAACTCATCACCAAATACAAACTGAATTTTGCACAGTTCCATCTTCCCTCTTCGATGAAGAAGTCAAGAGTTGTGTTATCATCATCAAAAGATCCTACAAACGTTGGCCATTTGAGTAGATTCTTATCCAAAATTTAGATATCCTTTAAAACATTGATTTTGGATCCATTCCCAACCTTCCACCTTACATAATTTTTAAGAACATTCCATCTCTAGAAATAATCTTCCAAGAGGAAGATCCACCTCTAGAAATACCACTGTCCCACCATTTGCTTCCATAGTTAGCCAAAAGATTTCTACTCAGCAATGTACCTAGTTTCTCCAAAAGTTTCCAAGCAAACTTCGCTCTCAGTATCTCTTCTGGACACTGCAGATTGAACTCCCCAACCTCCATATTGCTTTGGTTTACATATTAAATCCCATGCCGCATAATGAAATCCACGGCTACCATCACTTTTGTTCCATATAAAATCTCTACAAAGCTTCTCAAACTCCTTCAAAGTCTTCATAGGAATGAGAGAGTGAGACATCATAAAACCAGGTAGAGAAAGGTATACAGTTTTTACCAAAACCAATCTTCCTGCAAGGGAGATATACCTATTACCCCAAGCAGTCAGCTTCTTACTAGATTTATCCAATAGCATTCGGAAATCTCACTTTTTTAATCTCCTCAAGGTCATCTTAATTTTCAAGTACTCAAATTCTTCCACCAATTTGACTCCCATAATTCTTGAAATATGAATTCTCCTCCTCCTTTCCACTGAATTACCACACATCAAAGAAGATTTTTGATAATTAATTTTCTAGTCGGTCCACTTACAATAATCCTCAACAATGTTTCTAACCTTCTTCATACTTCTCTCTTTAGCTTCCACAAATAGCAATACATCATCTACAAACATAAGATGGGAAATCTTTTTGGATTTTGAAGAAATTCTAACACCTACATCCGATCCTCTACTATGGAAAGCATTGGATAACAGTTGTGAGCATAAAATAAATAGGAATGGTGATAGTGGGCATCCTTGTCAAAAGCCACTCCTCCCCTCAATCTAATTGGAATTAGAGCCATTGATCAATATAGAAAATCTGGGATCCGAGACACACTCCATTACCATATTGACAAACTTGAATGGAAACCCCAAATCTAACATCATCTTCTTAAGAGTTGCCCAACACATACTATCGTATACTTGCTCCATGTCCACCTTGATGGCTAAAAAACCATTAATTGCTTTAGAATAACTTAATTTGCTTAACACCTCCCGAGCCAATAGAAGATGGTTGAGATCGATCTCCCCCTTCACAAAAGCCACCTATTCTTTAAATATAATCTTAGGAATGATCCCCAACATTCTATTCAACAAAACCTTAGCCACAATTTTATAAATTAAATTACAAAGACTGATTGGATGGAATGCAGCTGAAAATATTGGGTTTTAAGTCTTAGGAATCAACACCACCATTGTATCTTTCCATTCCTTGCACATACTTTTTGTAGAGAAAAACTGCTTGACCGCTCTACAAACATCCTCCCTAATGATGCTTCTATAAACTTTAAAAAAAGAGTAAGCGATCCCATCACATCCTGGAGCCTTATTTTTATCCAACTTCGTAGCAAACTCCTCAATCTCGAAACCGAAAATCTCAGTATCCAGCAAATCTTTAGAATAAGTCCGTCAAAGTCCTTTTGCATTTCTTATTAAGAACTTCCATATCATCCCCCATATAAACCTTCTTCCACCCATTAGAAACAATATGAGTTGCTGTCTTGTAAGATATCCAAGCATCTTCAAACTTAATGCACCCTCTCCCTCTTGAAATCGACTCATAAATCTTCAACACAATTGGGCTATGGTCTGAATCCACTCTGGCTAAGTGCCTTACCACCATAATTTGGATTTTGTTAATGGCCAATGTGTTGAGAATACACCTATCCAATCTTTCCAGTATCCGACCCACTCCAACTTTATTGTTTCACCAAGTGTACCTAGGACCAACAACCCCAACTTCATGATAATCATTATCATTCATAAACTTCATCATGTCTAAGGACCCTTGTGAGAAAACAAACTTTATTCCTCCCTTCTTATCTTCCTGAGCCAAAATACAATTGAAATCCCCTCCAACAACAGATGGAATTTTCCTCTGAGAATGCTCCTAAACACATTCCCATAGCAATCTTCTCTTATGAGCCTCCTTGCTACCATAAACCGTAGTAATCATCCACATACCTTTATTGAAGACATTAAGATCCCCTATAACACATTGATCTAATATCTTTAATACAGAAAAGGATACCATATTAGACCTCCATAAAATCATAATCCCACCAGAAAGCCCTTCTGAAGGAAGAAGGAAGAAATCCCACCCATGACCCATCATTCTTCCTAAGGCACCTCTATTAAGAGAGGTGATCTTAGTTTATACCAGTCCCATAAAAAAGATCTTATAATCTTTTATAATTTCCTTCAAATAAATAGAGGTCTCTCTCTTCTTGGCCCCTCTACAATTCCAAAAAGCTATTGATTCCATTTAAAAAATTTTCGGGGAAGGGCCCCCATCTCTTCTCTTATTTCCCCCCTTCAAAAATTCTACCACGGGAATTGTTCTTAATAGGACCTAAGGCCCTAAGCTCTTTTGCAAGATTACATTTAACCAATTCCCCATTGGAACCAATCTCCTTCTCCTTCACCACACCACATAACCTTCCCTCATTGCATTTAATTCCTCCACCTTTATTAGAAAATCCACCTCCATGAGTCACTTCTTCATCACAACTATTATCACAACAAACAAAACTTGTGTTATTCACTTCAACTCCTTCCCTTTCCAATTCCTCCCCATTCAAAACATCAAATTTCTTCACATTTAATGAAATAAAAGGTTTATCATTATAAGAAAATGTACCATCAACCTCAACTGCAGGCTTTGCAATATCAGAGTTCACCATAACTGCATCCCCAATTGCATCAGGCTGCAACCCATGAACAAGAGTATCCTATTCCACAGCTATTTCCCCCTCCTCCAGTTGATTACCTTCAGCATTTGGTACCAACTCTTCAACAATATCAGAATTCAAAACATCAATTTTCACTTCAGCATTCTTCCCTTGAGCTTCCATAGTCTTCTTCCACTATTTTTTTACAACCTTTAGATTTTCCTTCAGCATATCATGTCTTCTTCTATTCCTCCTGTTAACCATGATCCAAGGTCCATATGTGGAGTCAGATTCCACCTCTTGAACCAATCCCACCTCTCTTACTTGACTTGACTTTCATCTTTAGCAATCTTCTCCTTTTCACCATTTTCCTTCAATTTGCAATCAGTTCTCACATGTCCTATCAATCCACACTCATAGCAAAATGTGGATATTTTCTCATATTCAAACTTTTGAAAAAACCTCCCAGATATACTTTCCACCCAAACTCCTATGGGAAGACGTTGATCAAGCTTGACCCTCACACAAACTCTAGCAAATTCCCTTCTTCCCCACTGAAACATGTTTCCATACATCATTAGAGGTTTACCAATCGATGAAGAAGTCCTTGCCACATTAACCTCATCCCAACATTACAAGGGTAAGTGAGGCATCCTAGTCTAAATAGGGGAAGTTAGACCCTTCAAGGATATAGTAGAAAACTCCACCGTCCACCTTTCCATTCCATAATATGGCCATTGATAAACCAAGGGCCCCCTGACATAACACCTTCCATCATATCCGTCAAATCAAAAGAGCATAAGAACCATCCCTTACCAAGAGTTGTAAAGTGGAAATTCCCAAACTATTTCCATTGCCTTCTCACTTCCCATGCTGCAATATGTGAAGGTATTTCCTTTCCAAACACCTTAATCACTAAGGAATTTCTCAATTTATTGGAATTCAAAATCTCAACATCTTCCCTCATTTTAACAGCTTTACCATCTTCCGAGAAAACCATATCCTCATCCTTGAAATCTAACTTTATGTAAGGCTTCTTCTTCCATGGGTTACCATCCAACCATTCACAATTCTAGTCGGCATTACCTCATTAACCTTATCCACAACACCAGTTCCCTCTGCTTCTGAATAACCAGTGAAATTAAGATTTGTGTTAACAATGTTAAGCAAATTCACATTTATCACATGGACAGATCCAGAGATTGCATTTGATATGCCAAACCTGTTAACAAAGATTTTCATTTCAGAAGACAACGCCAACAGATCAAATAAATCATGTTCTAAATATCTTTTGGCTATCCTTGGGGTTACAATAATAGATTCTTCAGCAACGACTTTACCTTTACCCTCTACATACGAAATCTTCTTAGGGACCTCCATGATGTTATCTTTAATCAGCAATGGACCATTAGAATTCATGATAACAAAATCCAATTTATTCTATTTTGAAATAGCTTTCAGACGTTCTTCTCCCAGATTTTGATTCAATAATCCTCTATCCACATTACCTCTTGTCATCGCAGCCAAAGATGGTTGGCGGCCCTCCACCACCATCTACCCGTCAATTCCTTAACAGAAGGAATGAAAATTGGGAATAAAAATTTTCAATTTTAGAAACTTTCTCTCTCTAGAAAACGAGAGTCTTTCTTAGTTTGGTGGAAGTAAAAATTAGTCCATCTGTAGATGGTTTGTTAGGACTACCAATTGTGGCCTAGGTTAGACTGGTGCTTTGATTTTGTTTGTTTGTGGTGTGCCTTGTCTAGAGGGCACTCATGTTTGGTGTTTTTATTTTTTCTACACTCTCGATGTCATGTTTACTTTATATTGGCGCATAAGAGATACGAGTGACTAATTTAGAGCTATATAATTTTATTTTAAATTATTATTTTCTAAATACAACTGCTTACACTTGTACCACATCATATATTACATCTTATATATATTTCTTTTTATATTCCTACAAAAGTAGAGTTTACCTAAGTGTCGATGTAAATGTAAATGCATATATAATTGTAAATGTTTCCATATCTTTGTATAGCTAGATTGAGTTGTATAGCAACAAGTATTGTAAAGTCTTGAATGTGATTATTGTATCCATGTA